GCCCCGCGCCGGGGGCGGAGAGTGGGGGGCGAGGGCTGTCCAAGGCATTTTCAAAGCGTTGTCTTGCTCAAATCCTGGGATTCCCCAAACTTGACAAGTTTTAAGACTTGTGGACTTCAACTCCCAGAATTCCTGAGCTAGCATGACTTGGGAGGAGGAATTCTGGGAGTTGAAGTCCACAAGTCTTAAAAGTTGCCAAGTTTGGAGACCTCTGCCCTAATCGATATATTTCCATTTGTAATTAGTGGAGTCCCGAATTCTCAGGATATAAAAGTAGCAGGACATAAAAGCTTGCCTTCAGAAGTTGTGGGAGCTTCATCGCTGGAAGCTTCCCAGAAGAGTCTGGACTGCCATCTGTCAGAAATGGTGGAAGGTCTCCAGCTTGGCCTGGGGGGTTGGACTAGATGACCTACAAGGTCCCTTCCAACTATAATTCTATTCTATTGTATTATTATTTTGATTTTATTTTATTATTCTATTCTATTCTACTCTATTCCTATTCTATTCTATTTTATTCTATTCATATTCTATTATTATTCCTATTCTTATTTTATTCTATCCTTATTTTATTCTATTATTCTATTCTATGATTATTCTATTCTATTATTATTCTATTCTATTCCTATGAGTAGGATCAATCGATCGATCCATACGGAACAGCTCTCCTTCAGAAATTGTGGCACTGCCTCATCACTGGAAATTTTCAAAAAGAGAGTGGACTTCCAGCTGTCAGAAATGGTGGAAGGTCTCCTCCTTGGGCTGGAAGTCGGAGGGCAGGGGGGCAAGGGGTTGGACTAGATGACCTACAAGGTCCCTGCCAACTCCGTTATTCTAGTAGTTGCAGGATACCCGCACTCTACATTTAACACTGAAAGAAGGAGAGGGGCTGGGTTCTCATGGGGGACCCCAGGGATGGGGTTGCCTCGAAAGCTTTCACTGGGGGGGAGGGCTCCTGCTCCAGCCCCCCCCATCTTGGCTGCCCTGCCTCCTTAGCTCATTGGGGGGAGTAGGGGGTGGCAAGTCGGACTCAGCTCTGTCCGCCCCCTTTTTCCCAGAACAAGGCTGGCAGACTTAAGAATAAGAAAGCACCTGAAGAGTTAACTAAAAACAAAATTGATTTTGTCCCGGAATTATTCCTCTTAGGAATAATAAAAAAAAACCTATAACAGAAAGATTAAATATATTACATATATTAACAGCAGCAAGAATTTCATATGCTCAGTACTGGAAGGAAAACTCTATACCACCTGAAAGTTTAATAATAATAAAAAATTAGTGTGTGGCAATGGATAAATTCAATTTCCTTGTGTGTCCATTCACACTTGGCCAATAAAGTATTCTGTTCTATTCTGTTCTGTTCTAATCTAACTATGGAATTAAAAGGGAAAACAGACACAGAATACAACACAGTATGGGAAACATGGTTTATTTGGATAGATAATAGATATAAAAATAGAAAATGTAAATAATGTATATAATAAATAGGAAGGTATGAAAGTACTCTGCATTGTAAGTTTTGATAGGACACATAAACGTATATTTAATGTCACAGCGCTGTTTAATAACTATTGGTATTATGTATAAATGGAAAAAAACATTCAATAAAGCATTATTTTAAAAAAGTATAAGCAAGCACCCCCTTCCTCCACCACCACCCCCCACCTCCCAAATCTCGGGATTTCCTGGCGGTTGAGCCCCCTGCAAGGACGAGCCTGCAGGGGCTGGGGAGCCTCCCCTCCCGCGCCCAGCAACGAGGTCTCTCCTCCTAATTGGCCCGCCAGCTTCACCCGGGGAGGGGAACCCGGGAAGCGCCGTCAGAAGTCGAACACGAGCAGCACCCGTCGCCGCCGCAGCCGCGGCAGCAGCAGCAGCAGCGCAAAAGGGGGCAGGGAGAGGGAGGCGCAGGCACCGCGGCCCCCTTGCCAAACAGCGCCAGCAGCAGCAGCAGCAACAGCAGCTCTTTTGGCTGCCTTCCCCGGCTGGGCAGGGCCAGGAAACCCGGCCACCCTCGGGCGGGCCGGGAGCAGCAGTCCCAGCCTTGCGGAGGGCGCTCGGACAACGCTGGCGGGTGGGGGTGGGCGAGCTCCGGAGCCCCTTGGAGCGGAGCCGCACCGCCCGAAGGCGAAGGCGCAGCGCGGCGCGTCCGCGGACCTTGCCTGCCTCCCGGTCCGGGTTCGAGCGGCCGTGGTGGACGCGTGGCTGGGCGAAGCAAGGGGGGTGGCGGAGGCCGAACTCCGGCGAAGCGGCGCCCCGCGGGAGTCGGAGCCCCGATGGAGACGGCGGCAGCGGCGGCGCCTTTCCCGCATCCTCTGGCTCCCGAACCCGATCCCGGTTTGGGTCCGGTCCGGCCGGGCGGCGAGAAACGTTTCCGACTCTGGTACGTGGGTTGCACCAGCCTGGACCGGCGAGCCACGCTGCCCATGTTGCCCTGGCTGATGGCCGAAGTCCGTCGGCGCAGCCAGAAGCCAGAACCGGGCGCGGCGGTGGCGGCGGCTCGGGAGGTGCTGCTGCTCCTGGGCGCGCCCACCCTCCGCTGCGTGCCCTCCTCGCCCGGCGGCGCCCCCGGCTCGGCCGTCTTCATCTTCGAGCACAAAGCGCAGCACATCTCGCGCTTCGTCCACAACAGCCAGGACCTCACCTACTTCGCCTACCTGATCAAGGCGCAGCCCGACGACCCCGACTCGCCCGTCGCCTGCCACGTCTTCCGAGCCACCGACCCCAACCAGGTGGGAGCAGGGGAGAGGAAGGGGAGCGGGGCGCCTTGAGGTCCTCGAGCACCACCCCTCCGCTTTCCAGATGGGGTTGTGGCCTTCTGAGCTTTTAGCTTCCCAATTAGTTTCTTTCTTTTTTATTCTTTCTTTCTTTCTTTTTCCTGGCCAGCATCCCCAGGGGGCAAGGTTGGAGCTAGAGACAAACCAGATGCCCTGGCTGCTGTGGACCAGACCCCACCCCACCCCCCACAATTATAGGTGGGGTGAGGAGACTTGAGGGCGGCGAGATGGGTGTGGGCCTAGATAGCAGGATGACCTGGCTATGGGAGTCTTGGCCAATGGTGGCAGATTCCCCCCAATGACAAGTGTGTGTGTGTGAGAGAGAGAAGGAGTGGGGGAGAGGGGGATAGAGAGAGGGGGGGAGAGGAGAGAGAGAGGGAAGGGAGGGAGAGAGTGGAGAGGAGAGGGGGAGGGAGAGAGTGTGAGTGTGTGAGGGAGAGGGGGTGGGAGGAAGGAAGACAGACCCAAATAGCCCTTGGATGGAGAGAGCAGGAGATCCAAGGTCTCTAAGGCTAGCTAGATGGGAACATGGCAAAACCTTGCTGGAAGAAGGCAGAGGAAACTTACCTTGAACTGTTGCCCAGAAAGTTGGATGCATGCACATCCCTGTGATTCCTGGAATCAAGCACGCTTGAGGGAGATGGCTTGAGCAAGGCAGGAACCTCCCTGCGGCCTCTTCACCTGCTGGATGAGCAGGAAGGCAGAGGGAAGGCAGGTTCAGTTGAACCTGAACGGTGGCTTCACACTTGGGTATCATTTTTTGTGCTTAGTCTCACCCGGACTGCAACTCCCCTTCCTCAAACCGAAGTAGGACTGGGTTATATCATTACTCTTGCTTGCCTGTAGCTCTGAGCTCAAGAACCACGGAGGCCTCTCCTGATAGGCCTCTCCTTTTTTTTGGCCGAGTATACCAACTGGCTGGCAGGTGAGATGTTCCTTCCCTTGACAGCTTGAAGACTTGTGGACTTCAATTCCCAGAATTCCTCCTCCAGTCATGCCTGCTCAGGAATTCTGGGAGTTCAAGTCCACAAGTTTTAAACTTGCCATGTTTGAAGACCCTTGCATTAGAATATTCTCTAAACCGGAGAATCTTTGGAATGCGCTGTACAGGGTTCCTTAGACCAGAAAGGAGCTGCATCTTGGAACAGACTGAAAAAGATGTCTCGGTTGTGTTTTGCATATATTCAAGTAAAAGAAACACAGAATAACAGAGTTGGGAGGGACCTTGGAGGTCTTCTAGTCCAAGAAGCCCTCTACCATTCCAGACAAATACTTGTCCAATCTCTTCTTAAAAACTTCCAGGGTTGGAGCACTCACAAACTTCTGGAGACAACTCTGTTCTACTGATTAATTGTTCTCCCTGTCAGGAAGGTTGCTTCTCTCCTTGATTAGTTTCCATCTCCAACCTTGGCAACTTTAAGACACGTGGACTTCAACTCCCAGAGTTCTACTTTGCTGGCTGAGGAACTCTGGGAGTTGAAGTCCACAAGTCTTAAAGTTGCCAAGGCTGGAGACCTCTGCTTTGCAGAATAGCTTCACCTTCTCTTCTTTGTGGCAGCCCCTTAGATCAGACGTCCCCAACCCCCCCGATCCATGGATTGACACTGGGCAGTGGCATACCAACAACCGGGCTGCACAAGCAAGTGAAGCCCCATCCAAATGCAAAATGCATGCAAGCCACGCCCCCTCTGGAAATCATGGAACCAGTCCCTGGTACCCAAAAGGTTGGGGGCCGTTGCTTTAGATATTGAAACAGTGCTATCATGTCACTCCTTTAGTCCTTTTTTTTTCATTAGGCTAAAGCAGGGGTCTCCAACCTTGGCAACTTTGAGACTTGTGGCCTTCAACTCCCAGAATTCCTCAGCCAATTGCTGGCTGAGGAATTCTGGGAGTTGAAGTCCACAAGTCTTAAAGTTGCCAAGGTTGGAGACCCCTGGGCTAAAGGTCTAAAGGTAAAGGTTCCCCTCGCACATATGTATTAGTCGTTTCTGGCTCTAGGGTGCAGTACTCATCTCCGTTACAAAGCCGAAGAGCCTGTGCTGTCCGAAGACGTCTCCATGGTCATGAGGCCGGCATGACTAAACGCCACAGGCACACGGAACGCTGTTCCCTTCCCACCAAAGGTGGTCCCTATTTTTCTACTTGCATTTTTACATGCATTCAAACTGCTAGGTTGGCAGAAGTTGGGACAAGTAACGGAAGCTCACTCTGTTACGCGGCGCTAGGGATTCGAACCGCTGAACTGCTGACCTTTCTGATTGACAAGCTCAGCGTCTTAGCCACTTCCTGCAACCGTTCTTCATATGGTTTATCTTCCAGTCCCCTAATGGTCTTCGTTGCTCTTCTCTGCACTCTTTCTAGAGTCTCGACAACTTTTTAATATCGCGGTGACCAAAGCCGGATGCAGTATTCCAACACAGGTTCCACGGGTCCATCCATTAGTGTTCCTGTTCCATTGAGAGCAAAATGGTGGCCTTTCCCTCTCTGGGATATCTTTCAGGATCTGTTTGCTGGCCAGGATATGTGCAGAAAGGAAGGCAGATGGGTTTGGGGAGTGGCTTTTCTTTAATGACTTGAGGAAAACAGCTGAGTTTCAGCCCTTTGACATGGAGGCATTGCAGGAGAAGCAAGCTGAGATCCTTATTCTCTTCCTGGAATAAAATCAGACATGTGAACTGGGTGAGTGTAGAAAGGAAGGAACTCTCTTGCCTGCCCTCTCTCATCATTTTACAGATTAACAGAGTTGGAAGAGACCTCGTTGGTCATCTAGTCCAATCCCCCACCCAAGCAGGAGACCCTACACCATTTCTGATAAATGGCAGTCCAATCTCTTCTTGAAAGCCTCCAGTGATGAAGCTCCCACAACTTCCGAAAGCAACTTCGGTTCCATTAGTTGATTGCTCTCCCTGTCAGAAACTTTCTCCTTATTTCTAGGTTGATCAGTTTCCATCCATTATTCCTTGTCTGGCCTTCAGGTGCTTTAGAAAATAGCTTGATCCCTTCCTCCTCTCTGTGGCAGCCCCTCAAATATTGGAAGACTGCTATCATGTCTCCCCTGGTCCTTCTCTTCACTAGACTAGCCATGCCCACTTCCTGCAACCATTCATCTTATGTTTTAATCTCCAGTTCCCTAGTCATCCTGGTTTATTTGTCAATTGCTTACAAGATAATAGGTATAAGTAAAAACATAGTTATGAATACATGGATACATATAAGAAAAATTAAAAAAATAAAAGAAACAATAGGACAGGGACGGTAGGCACGTTGGTGTGCTTATGCATGCCCCCTACAGACCTCTTAGGAAAGGGGTGAGGTCAATAGTAGACAGTCTAAGGTTAAAGTTTTTGGGGTTTGGGGAAGAAACTGCAGAGTCAGGTAGAGTATTCCAGACATTGACCACTCTGTTGCTGAAGTCGTATTTCCTGCAATCAAGTTTGGTGCAATTAACCTTGAGTTTGTATCTATGGTTTGCTCTTGTGTTGTTATGGCTGAAGCTGAAGTATTCATTGACAGGTAGGACATTGCAATGTATGATTTTATATACTATACTTAGATCGGACCGAAGATGGCGTAGTTCTAGGTTTTCTAGAATTTCGAGTCTGGTGGCATAAGGTATTCTGCAACGAGTAGAGGAGTGGAGAACTCTTCTTGTGAAATATTTCTGGACTTTCTCAACTGTGTTAATATCAGATACATAATGTGAGTTCCAGATTGATGAGCTGTATTTGAGTATGGTCTTGCAAATGTTTTGTATGTTCTAGTTATTAGTGTAATATTACCAGAGAAAAAGCTACGTAAGATTAGGTTAACAACTCTTAATGCCTTTTTGGCTATGTAGTTACAGTGGGCTCTAGCACTTAGATCATTAGAGGTGAGTACTCCAAGATCCTTGACAGAGTTTGGATCATCAACAAGGTCTTGACTATTCAGCCTGTATTTTATTTTCTGATTTATTTTGCCAATATGTAGAACAGAGCATTTATTTGTTGAGATTTGAAGTTGCCATTTGTTTGACCATTCTGATACATAGTCGTCTTTTTGAAGGGTAGCAGTATTGTCTGTGGTGTTGAATAGCTTTACATCTTGATATGATCACAGAGGTCATTTATGTAGAGTATGAAGAGAGTTGGTCCTAGAACACTGCCTTGGGGGACACCACTGTTGACAGTACAGAATTTGATAGGACACTCCCAATTTTGACCATTTGTTGTCTGTTGGACAGGAATGCTTCTATCCAGTTATGCAGGTGTCCAGATATACCGTAAGATTTTAGTTTTAGGAGTAGTTTGTCGTGTACCATTGAATCGAAGGCTTTACAGAAGTCTATGTAGATTGCATCTATTGCTTTGCCCTGATCGAGTTGTGTAGTCCATATGTTTTTGCAGTGTAAGAGTTGCAGATTACAGGATAGTTTTTTCCTGAAACCAAATTGTTTATTAGAGAGTAGGTTGTTTGTTTCTAAGTGGAGAATGATGGATTGGTTAATAATTGATTCCATGACTTTACAGGTGACGCAGCATAAGGAGATTGGTCTGTAATTTTCAACTAGGCTGGGGTCTCCCTTTTTGAAGATGGGGATGACCGTGGCTTGTGACCATAGTTTTGGCAAGGAGCTGGTCCTGAAAGATTTTTCAAAGGTTATGCTTAGAGGTTCGGCTATGGCAATGGGTAGCTTTTTTAAGAAGTAGGCACATATTCCGTTGCTCTTTACTTTTTCTAGAGTCTCAACATCTTTTTTATAGTGTGGTGACCAAAACTGGATGCAGTACTCTAGGTGTGGTCTTACTAAGGCTTTACAGAGTGGTTGCAGGGACCCCACTGTTAAATGTTGCAAGAGAGAGAGAGAGAGAGAGAGAGAGAGAGAGATGGAAAAATATTCTGGGAAGAATTCAAATTGCCCTCAAATGCTTCTGTAACCCAAAATATCACTTCCTTTTTTTAAAAAAAAAAAACTT